GCGGCGCACGGCCTCCCCCGCCGTGGCCGGCTCCTTTCTGGCTCCCAGTCCTCCCTCCCCCTTTGGCGGAGTTTGAATGTCGAGTTCAAATAGAGAACACTCGGCGAATCGAAAAGACCTATAAATTATAGCTTTTGCTTTTAAAAAGGGGGGAGGAAAAAGCAAAACTTCTGATGCGCATTCTTGGATGCAAACCTCGCCTCGCTCCGCCTGCCCCTCGCCCTGCCGGGCTCCCAGCCCAGGGCCCGGACCCGCCACCGCACTCGCTCCAGGCCGCGGCCGGGGCCTGGGTGCGAAGCCCGGGCTCCCAGCCGCTCCCGTCGCCGCGCCTCCCTCCGTGGGTCCGCAGGGTAGGCCCGTCTGGCCGTGCGTCCATCCGCGAGCTGGCGGCCCGCCCTCCGCGGCCGAGGGAGGCGAGTCCAACGCTTCCTGGGAGGTGGGGCCCACCGTCTCTTCTGGCGAAGCTAGAGGACGCGAAAGGCAAGGTCCACCCCCAAACACTTTTCTTGTAAAACAACTGTCTCCGGCTCTGGGCACCGACATGCAATCCTCCCAATTTATCCTGGCATCTCGGGAATGTAAACAGATTCGCTGGATTTCTTTTCTTTCGGCGGAGTAAGGAAAGGAACCGAGGGAACCGGGAGATTTTAGCCGCGTGACACACACACGATCTGATCTGCGTGTGTCACACACACACCTCCCGTAAAGTGCATTTCCTGGCGTGGTCCTGGGGGGAGGGTCTGCTGCTCCACACCCACCCGCGACTTGTTACCTTCAACGTCACACACAGAAAAGTGATTCAAGTTAATACTCTTTTTTCCCCTAAGACTTCTTAATCTTAAAAAAAAAAAAAAAAAAGAAAAAAAAAAGGAAAAAGAAAAACAGACTGACCCCACCCCCCTTTTTTCCTGATTGGGGAGCCAACCTTTTGCTGGCCTGGCCGGCCAATGGGAAGAGAGAAAAAATCCGGGTCCTGCGTTAGTTCCAGGGGTCTGCCTGGAGCTGTGGGAAAAGGGAGGAGGGGTGAGGTGGGCCAGCTGAGTCCCTCCAGACACTACGAGAGGCCCGGCACCCGGGTCCCCAGCCTCCCTAGTGCTCTGGGTGGCTGAGGGGCCCCTCCTGCCCCAACTCAGCCTGGCTGCCCCAACTAAAACAGTCTCTCTCTCCTTGTTAAATAAAACAACTTCAAGAGTTGAAATATATATATTTAGATATTTTTTCTTAAATAAGATATTTACATCTAATAGAAAATATAACTCTAGAGATAATCTTCCAACCAAAACTGAGGAGGAGGGAGGAGGAATGAAGGGGCTGGCTGTGTGAAGTTGGGGAGGGGACCGGCCAGAAGGCCGCCTCCCACCCAGAAATAAAAAGCGTTATGCCATGTTTGCGCTCTCGCTCTCTCTCTCCTGCTCTTGTCCTGGGATCGCCCACCCAGCAATTCATCTTTTCTCTTTAAAAAAGCCTTGGTCCGTGTTACTTTCCTTAATGGTGACGGTCAAAAAGTTTGAGGTCACGTCAGTGACCACCACCTTCTCCAGGTTGGTCAAGGAAGGACTCCAGGACTCTTCCTCTGGGTCCCCCAGGATTCTGGCCACTGGGATCCTGGCGATGAGGGAGGGCCTTCCCCCTTGAGCCCCCATGTCCCGATACAGGCCTCCCACAGAGCCAGGGGTGCCTGAGCCATGCCGGACCCGGGGGCCACCAGGGTCCAGGGCACCTTGGCCTTTGGCCTCCAGGAAAGCGGCCCTGTGCTTTATGACCCTGGCAGGAAAGGTGTCCACGGCCAGCTTGCCTGTGGCTTCAGCTGGGCTGGGGCTGGCCACGCCACACTGGGCCAGGTCCGAGTCCTGCCTTCGGGCCAGCTGGATCACGCTGTGGCCTGCTGGGAACTTTCCTGCCCCAGAAGAGGCGTCCTCCAGCTTCCTGTTCTTGAGGTAATCTCCCAGGCCATCACTGGGTTCTCCCAAGGGCCTCTGTGAGGGGTCCAGGAGCTCCTTCCGGGGCTTGGGGCCTCGCTTCTTGGAGCTGTCGCCTGGCGAGCTGGGCTTGTCATCCACGCGGCTGGCACCCCGTTCTCGCTCCCGGTCCCTCTCTCGCTCCCGGTCCCTGTCACGGTCTCGAGGGGGCTCCACTCGGCAGGTGCTGCTGGTGCTGCTGCTGCTCCCGGGCGGGGACAGACCCATGTTCCGAAGGCCCTCGCGGGCCCGGGAAGTAGAAGCCAAGTCCTGGGGTGAGCGGCCAGGATAGGGGATCCGGATGCCACGCGCAGAGTCACTTCGGAACTCATACGTTTTGGCCTTTGCCTTGGCCTGAGCCTGCAGGAGAGAAGGTGGCATCAAGAGTGGAGAAGGCCCCTGCCCACCCTCCCCGCTTAGGACCCCTTTCCCAGTCCTGGCCTCCCTCTGACGCCTCAGAATTTCCACAGGTGGGGGCGGGGCTGAAGGGCAGCAATCTGGGGGAAGGGATAGAGAATTTGTCTGGAATAGCCATTTGCAGCAAGCACACTTCTTGTATTTGATTATGTCTATTTGGGACGGCCGTGGGCGTAGAAATTCTAGACAGGTTAAGGCTCTCCCCCCAGGACACCCCTTGGCACTGCCCCTGACCTGGTGAGAGCCCGTCTGGGGACTCCATCCTAGGTTACAAATAGGCAAAGTGTGTGGACACCCCATTGGTTTACAAGCTCTCAGGGCCCCCTTCCCACAAACTGACACAACAGTTGCCGCCCCCCATTGGACAACGCCATCCTACCTTGAGGAGGAAGGTTTTGGGTTTGGGACCACGCTTTTTGGGGCCATAGAGCTCCATCTCTCGTTCCCTAGAGAAAGGAGAGAGGGAAAAAGGGGTGTGAGTAAAGAAATCTGATGGGACTCCAGTCCAGGCTGGAGAGAAGCCACCCTCCGTGTTCCCAAGCGAGAAGCTGAGACTTGGAAGGGCCTGTACCTTTCCTCAAAGGCTGCAAGCAGGCGAGCATCCAGGATGTTTTCTTCAGGTTCCCATGTGCTGTACCTAGAGGGAATCAGGAAGAAGTGGGCGTCAGTC